TTCACTCCATCACTGTCTTGCCAGAAGGGTGCTTTACACTACAGTTTTTAAACTGCAACATTAACACCCCTCCTTCAGAGGGCAGGCACTGTACTTCCCATCTCCAGGACTCAAGTCCGGCCTGCCGGTTTCCCTGAACCCCTTCATAAATGTTACTTTGCTCACACTCCAACAGCACGTCAAGTATTAAAAACCATTCGTCTTCATTCACTCCTATCAAACACGCTCACGCACGCCTGCTGGAAGTCCAAGCCCCTCGCACACAAAACCTCCTTTACCCCCTCCCTCCAACCTTTCCTAGGCCGACCCCTACCCCGCCTTCCTTCCACTACAGACTGATACACTCTTGAAGTCATTCTGTTTCGCTCCATTCTCTCTACATGTCCGAACCACCTCAACAACCCTTCCTCAGCCCTCTGGACAACAGTTTTGGTAATCCCGCACCTCCTCCTAACTTCCAAACTACGAATTCTCTGCATTATATTCACACCACACATTGCCCTCAGACATGACATCTCCACTGCCTCCAGCCTTCTCCTCGCTGCAACATTCATCACCCATGCTTCACACCCATATAAGAGTGTTGGTAAAACTATACTCTCATACATTCCCCTCTTTGCCTCCAAGGACAAAATTCTTTGTCTCCACAGACTCCTAAGTGCACCACTCACCCTTTTCCCCTCATCAATTCTATGATTCACCTCATCCTTCATAGACCCATCCGCTGACACGTCCACTCCCAAATATCTGAATACAATTAAAAAAAAATATCCTTTTTTAGATGCAATTCATATCACTAAAAGGAGGCATCAATTATCTGAAAAAGTATGCACATATCTGCAGCTTCCAGGAGTCCACACACACATGAGTTCTGCTACATCTACTGCAGTCTCGAGGTCAGAGCCAATGAAACAGTGTTACATTAACTGCAATTATTGACAGTCTACAAACCTGAGAGATGCATCTACAAGTGTTGTAGACTGGAACACCAACTGATGCACTGTGAACTCATGGTGTTTAAAGATGGTTGATTGTGAAGAGCCTTGGAAAGTAGCTCTGGGTTTGTGATGCTGGCTGTAGGTGAACTCATCAATAAGAAGAGTATAGTAAGTGTTAATTATTTGAAATTTATGTATGGATCTGAAAGATGATCATTATTAGAAAACCTGTAAAATAAACAAACTTAATTTTTTTTTAATAAATAAACTCTGTTTGCCTGTTACATGAAGTTTACTGCTGGAAAAAACTGGCTCAGACAAAGGGTGATGTACCATGAAAATACCTGAAAAAAGATGCCTTGGTAAAGAGAGAGAAATGCAGTTACAGTATATGGACCTTGCATTGGCGACATTTTGCCCATGAAGTGATCCATTCTGTTCATATAGCATACTACATATTACTTACCCAAAAAAGATGCCTACAAAAGGAAATTTTAGTATTACATTTATAACAGAAAATTTACATAAATCTGAAAAATAATGAAATATTGGAAGGGACAACAAAAACATTGCTGATACAGAAGAGCGAAATTAACAACACTAAGTGACTTACCGCCATCTGTAACTTCCCTTGACACAAGCCATGACTAACCTGATGCTAAAAACAAACTTACCTTCATACTACCAGACATCCATTAACCTTACTAGTACACAAGATGCACCGTTACTTTGTCCCATTCTGCTGTGGAACAATCTACCCTGCATAACCTGACATTGTAATATGTAACTCATCTCCCCACTACATGACCCGTGTAGCTACATCCTCTCTTGTTGCTATGCAGTCTGACTCATTACTACTGTACTTCATATTACGAGCCACAATACAAAGGTTTTTACTAAATAAATATGCCCAGAGTTAAAAACCTCCTTCCATCTTATGAGTACAGGCCACACACACACACACACACACACAAAGTATTCAGGCTAACATCACTCTCCTCACTCGTATAAGAACAAAGTACATGTATTCTCTAGAGCAGAGGCGAGACACACGGTAATATACCCCGTGGAATATATTTGAAAGCCTGACCCCAAATGTACACACACCACCATAAAGTACCTGGGTGATAAATGTGGATGCGTAATATAAACCTAAGAAAAAGCAGGGAAGCCATGTACATAAAATGAGAACACAGTATCACTGGGCCTAGACCAAGGTGGTCCAACTACAGGCTTGCAGGGTGATTTTTTTGTGGCCTGTGAGCACTCATATTAATATATTGATTTACTGAATTTTCTACTATAAAAAATATTAAAGTATCTGCTATGCTAAGGATTTTTTTTTTTTTTTTAAAAAGTCGGCCGTCTCCCACCGAGGCAGGGTGACCCAAAAAGAAAGAAAATCCCCAAAAAGAAAATACTTTCATCATTCAACACTTTCACCTCACTCACACATAATCACTGTTTTTGCAGAGGTGCTTAGAACACAACAGTTTAGAAGCATATACATATAAAGATATACAACATATCCCTCCAAACTGCTAATATCCCAAACCCCTCCTTTAGAGTGCAGGCACTGTACTTCCCATTTCCAGGACTCAAGTCCGGCTATACAAAAATAACCGGTTTCCCTGAATCCCTTCACTAAGTATTACCCTGCTCACACTCCAACAGATCGTCAGGTCCCAAATACCATTCGTCTCCATTCACTCCTATCGAACACACTCATGCACGCCTGCTGGAAGTTCAAGCCCCTCACCCACAAAACCTCCCTTACCCTATACTCTGCTCTTCTTGTAACACTTCTGCTTTATAAAAGCCTCTCATAAGCTACCTTTTTCTCTTATCACACCCTTTACTTCTTCATTACACCAATCACTCGTCTTTCCTCCTGTACCCACCCTCCTATAACCACAAACTTCTGCTCCACATTTTAATATTGCATTTTTAAAACTATCCCAACCCTCTTCAACCCCCCCCCCCCCCACTATTTATATTTGCACTAGTCCACCTTTCTGCCAATAGTTGCTTATATCTTACCCTAACTTCCTCCTCCCTTAGTTTATCTACTTTCACCTCTCTCTTACTTGCTGTTGCCATTTTTGTTTTGTCTCATCTACCTCTTACTCTGTAGCTGTAACTAAACAATGATCCGATATATCTGTTGCCCCTCCATAAACACGTACATCCTGAAGCCTACCCATCAACCTTTTTATCCACCAATACATAATCTAACAAACTACTTTCATTATGTGCTATATCATACCTTGTGTACTTATTTATCCTCTTTTTCATAAAATATGTGTTACTTATTACTAAACCTCTTTCTACACATAGCTCAATTAAAGGCTCCCCATTTTCATTTACTCCTTGCACCCCAAATTTACCTACTACTCCCTCCACAACATTTTTACCCACTTTAGCACTGAGATCCCCAACCACACGTACTCTCTCACTTGGCTCAAAACTCCCCATTCACTCGCTTAACATTTCCCAAAATCTCTCCCCCTCTCTCTCTCCTCTACACTTCTCTCTTCTCTAGGTGCATAAACACTTACTATAACCCACTTTTCACATCCAACCCTTGTTTTACACCACATAATCCTTGAATTTATACATTTATATTCCTTCTTTTCCTGCCATAACTTATCCTTCAACATTATTACTATGTCTTTTTTTTTTAGGTCTAACTCTGTTTGAAACCCTTGACCTAATCCCATTTATTTCTCCCTGCTGAAACTCTCCTACCCCCTTCAGCCTTGTTTCACTTAAAAGGGACATCCAGCTTCTTCTCCTTCATAACATTCACAATCATCTCTTTCCTATCATTCGCATAACATCCACGCACATTCAAACATCCCAATTTGACGGTTTTCTTTTTAGTAAGCTATATGAGAATAGGGGTTACTAGCCCATTGTTCCCGGCATTTTAGTTGACTTTTACAACATGCATGGCTTACGGAGGAAATATTCTTATTCCATTTCTCCATGGATGTGAAAGGAAAAGCAATAAAAACAAGAACTATTAATATAAAATCAAAGAAAACTTAGATGAGTGTGTATACATAAAGGTGTACATGTATGTGTAGTGTGACCTAAGTGTAAGTAGAAGTAGCAAGATGTACCTGAAATCTTGCATGTTTATGAGACAGAAAAAAGACACCAGCAATCCTACCATCATGTAAAACAAATACAGGTTTCCTTTTAACACTCATTTGGTAGTATGGTAGTACCTCCCCGAATGGTTGTTGTCTACCAACCTACCACCCACTGTTCTTATGAAATCAAATTGGATGCAATGGAATCAAAATGGGTAACTTTAGTTTTACAAAGGATATATGAAAGTACCAATTATATAAATGCACTATGTGGAACAATGTGCCAAGTATAGTCACTGAAGCAAAAACCTTGGATAAATTTAAAAGCAGGTTACACAAATATTTGAGAATGAAGGAGTGGATTTAAGAAAGACCTGCACAGCATGAACCAAAAGTCGTACTACAGTGTTCATCCATTCTTATGTTCTTATAAGATATGAAAACACTGCACGTGTTGAATACCGATATAGAGAAAAACTGAATTACTTCCACCTGACTCACAAAATTGCAAGTTTAAGCCCCACCCTTACAGTATTTTTTTTTCCCCACCTACGAGGTCTGAAAATATACCCCATCTTATACCTCAACTCTGGAGTTGTGCAAAAATCTGACCGAGGGGAAAATACACATCTCTTTCCCTTCCTTCCCTATCCTATGACTAATGGTAAACTATCCACTGTCCTGGTACTTAACTCACCTTGATACTATGTGACTCAAATCACTGCTATACAAATACATCTTCCAATTACATATACATACAAACATTTCATACACCAATGTAGAAAATGTAAAAAGTGTTGTTGTACCTCTCACATTCTCTGAAAATGTTTTATGAAACATTTAGCTATCATGAGTTAGTGTTTTTCAGACACACACACACACACACACACACACACACACACACACACACACACTACAAATATGCACACAAATACAACAGGTTATTATTTATACACACACACACCTTCAGTGCCTGTAGTTGTGAAAGTGTAAGGTCTTTGATTGGGATCTCTAACAAGTCAGTCTTATCCTGCTCCTTTTTGCGCTTGAGAGCAATGCAGGCATGAAAGTCGTGATAGATCACTGGAACGAGATCTTTGCTTAGCTGAACATCAAACTCCACCATATCCGCCCCTTTCTCTGCTGCATACTTGAGAGATGCGACAGTATTTTCTCTGATGTTTGCACAGCTATAAAAAAAATTGTGGTGTACTTTAAAATTCAGAAGACAATTTGTCTTCAAATACACAAAAAACTTTTAGAAACACTTTAAGAATAATAATCTAATTTTTATTATTAGACATCACTTTAAATCCACTGGTAATTCACCTGTGTGACAGGAAATTGTCTTTAACCAGCAAAATGGGTACAAGAATACCTTACTTATATGGCTGGTTAGTTTCCAGACTGCCGCCATAAAGCGAGTACAGTATTACCTTAAAGTAAGTCACAGCCTTTCTTTTTTTTTTTTACATGCCAGTGCATATAAAAACCCAAAAACATGCTTATACTATCATTTATTAAGCACAACAGCACTAGTAAAAATAGCAAAAGTAAAAATAATAAAATCTGAAAACTGCCAAAAACACCTTAAGACCAAAGCAAGTGCCGAAAATAATAAATACAAATATAACTGAAAAGCGCCATATTAACTAATGCCTGTACTGGTATTTATTTTTATATCTAGTGATGTTTCAAATGTTATAATACTTTCCTTGTGTCATAATATCTGTCTGCTATACTTTATTTCTTAAAACCATGTAATACAGTACTCGTTTTAGTTAACTTCTAAATTAAGTCTGACCAAAATGATGCCCATAACTTGCCTCTTTTTTAATCTGTACACTAACAAACTATTAACCTATTCATTGTTATGGACATTTTTAAAGAAATATTATGGTCTAAATGTCTAAATATGAATTGCTGTACATTATCATTTTTTTTTTTTTTGACACGTTGGCCGTTTCCCACCGAGGCAGGGTGACCCAAAAAGAAAGAAAAAACTTTCACAATCATTCAACACTTTCACCATCATGCATACATAATCACTATCTTTACAGAGGCACTCAGATACGACAGTCCAAAAGTCCCTCCAAATTGCCAATACCCCAAACCCCTCCTTCAAAGTGCAGGCATTGTACTTCCCATTTGCAGGTCTCAACTCTGGCTAGCCAGTTTCCCTGAATCCCTTCGCAAAATATTACCCTGCTCATACTCCAACAGCTCGTGAGGTCCCAAAAACCATTCATCTCCATTCACTCCTATCTAACACACTCAGGCATGCTTGCTGAAAGTTCACTTTCAACTTTCTACCTTTACATACCCTCCCAAACTCATCCACTAACTTTTGCAACTTTTCTTTAGAATCCCCCAAAAGCACAGTATCATCAGTAAAAAGTAACTGTCAACTCCCACTTTGCATTTGATTCCCCATAATTTAATCCCACCCCTCTCCCTAAAACCCTAGCATTTTCTTCTTTTACAACCCCAACTATAAATATGTTAAACAACCATGGTGACATTACACATCCCTGTCTAAGACCTACTTTTAGTGGGAAGTAATCTCCCTCTCTCCTACACACCCTGAGCCTCACTATCTTCATAAAAACTCCAAGTATCATACATTAATCCCAGCAGCACTCTTAAAATTGACACAGAAAAATAAATAAAAAATACAGATGTAAACTGCTTTAAAAGTCAGAGAGTTCAGAGAGAAACTAGAATGATCAGCAGCAATAAGCAAACTTCTAATGATATAACAAAATTGAATTTTTAATAGATGTTTAACATTTTTTTTTTTATTAGCACACGGGCCGATTCCCACCAAGGCAGGGTGGCCCGAAAAAGAAAAACTTTCACCATCATTCACTCCATCGCTGTCTTGCCAGAAGGGTGCTTTACACTACAGTTTTTAAACTGCAACATTAACACCCCTCCTTCAGAGGGCAGGCACTGAACTTCCCATCTCCAGGACTCAAGTCCGGCCTGCCGGTTTCCCTGAATCCCTTCATAAATGTTACTTTGCTCACACTCCAACAGCACGTAAAGTACTAAAAACCATTTGTCTCCATTCACTCCTATCAAACATGCTCACGCATGCCTGCTGGAAGTCCAAGCCCCTCGCACACAAAACCACCTTTACCCCCTCCCTCCAACCTTTCCTAGGCCGACCCCTATCCCGCCTTCCTTCCACTACAGAATGATACACTCTTGAAGTCATTCTGTTTCGCTCCATTCTCTCTACATGTCCGAACCACCTCAACAACCCTTCCTCAGCCCTCTGGACAACGGTTTTGGCAATCCCGCACCTCCTCCTAACTTCCAAACTACGAATTCTCTGCATTATATTCACACCACACATTGCCCTCAGACATGACATCTCCACTGCCTCCAGCCTTCTCCTCACTGCAACATTCATCACCCATGATTCACACCCATATAAGAGCATTGGTAAAACTATACTCTCATACATTCCCCTCTTTGCCTCCAAGGACAAAGTTCTTTGTCTCCACAGACTCCAAAGTGCACCACTCACCCTTTTCCCCTCATCAATTCTATGATTCACCTAATCTTTCATAGACCCATCCGCTGACACGTCCACTCCCAAATATCTGAATACATTCACCTCCTCCATACTCTCTCCCTCCAATCTGATATCCAATCTTTCATAGGCTACCAAATTTATCAACATGTCAGTTCTCTGAACCATTCATCTGCAATAGACTACCAAATTTACCATAATACAGGCAGACATATTTCAATACTTGGTAAAATATAAATACCTCTTAGATTCTGAATGGTAAGAATTTCCAGCTCCACGATGACCAACCTCCAGTCCCTTCCAGCTGTCTTTCCAGTGATGTGCGTATGACACACTCATGTCTCCTCCATACTCCATAGGGTACACCACCATGTAGTGAACTACCAGGAAAAATGTAAATTAAAAATTCAGATTTACACAAAAAATCTAATTTAGATGAGAGGTTTAAAAATGCAGTCAACTTTCCTATTTAATGGACTAATTGGGGGGAGTGGGTGGCCAGTAATGGCAACTGTGGTGGACAGAGAAAACTGTTTTGCCGTGAATAATGAACAGTTCTACGACTAAAAGACTTTGACCATAGTTTCCAAATCTATTAACCCAGCGCGTTCTGTTCTGCATATCCAAAGTTCATTTAATGGAGGTCCATAAAATTGAGGGTTTACTGTGTATGCATTTTCAAGTCAGTTAAATGTTAAGCAATATTATAAGCAAGTTGATTGGTTAACTAAAAAAACCATTGCCTTATTACAAATTACACTGCAAGTTTTTGGTGGGAAATGGCTGGCGTGAAAAAAAAAACTTAGTAAAGCTATTACTGTTTTATTATGGTACAGTATACAATTTCTGAACAATGCTCAAAATAGAAAGTTTTACTTACATAAAGCAAAAGATAAATTCTTTTAACTGTTTGGTATGGTACATCCTAACATAGTACAGTGGACCCCCGGTTAACGATATTTTTTCACTCCATAAGTATGTTCAGGTGCCAGTACTGACCGAATTTATTCCCATAAGGAATATTGTGAAGTAGATTATTCCTTTCAGACCCCCAAACATACACGAACAAACGCACTTACATAAATACACTTACATAATTGGACGCATTTGGAGGTAATCGTTATGCGGGGGTCCACTGTATTTGTCATTAACATAAATTCAGTGTGTCAAGACTTCCAATATGCAACTGAAGTATCTGAACATAATGTAATTATTGCTTTAAGACAGACACACACACACACACACACACCTGTTAGCTGCCCAACTGGTATATGCTTGGGAGAGGTTATTGGAAGTGTTGCTACACCATAGTTCTCCTTCATGTTTGATGGCAAGATATATGAGCATCCTAGGTAACAGGGAATCTCTTCCCTCGAGTCCTCTATGTAGAAGTCGCAGAGGAAAACCTGTGGAGAACAAAGCCTATTAAATTATCCCAGTAAGTATGAGAGTCACTGGTGTGACTCAGTGAAGGAAGAACATCAACAAGCAGTATATAAACTAGTGCACTCAGCTTCACTTATATACCAACATTACAGGGAATGAAGCTTCACAATTCAGGCTAAATACACCAACATAATCCATGTTCATATCCCAAATATAGAGTAAAATCTATGGAGGTCAACCAATTTCGTTTTATTCTTTTTATGTTTCTTTATCATTTTTCCAACAGATGAGGTTTAGCAATATGTTCAATTAATCCAACATTTATGACTCCTCTTGTACCTGAAATTTTTTGCATTAGGAGTAACCAAATTATATTTGGCACATTTTCTAGACAATTTTATAGATATAAAAAATAAAACAGAATAATACCAGTTGGTATCAGATTAACATATACATAAACTCTGCAAGGACCTCCTCCACAGGTACTGCCAACAGGAACGTCGCATCTGGTACCAACCTTAAGCCAGATTCAGATCGGCCAAAGTTCTCTCACCATCGCTGTAATGTGGTTAGGATGTCAAACACCAGATCTTCTGAAGAGCCATCATTACTAGGCTCCACACAGAACTCACACTGTCACTCATCTCTATCTCCTTAAAGAGAGCAACACTGATCGAGGACATATCACAGCATTCTCAACTGCCAATTGACTCCAGAGGAAGACCAGAAAGCACCCGGAGAACTGACTTGTACTGGCTGATATTATGTACTACTTAATAGGTACAATAATATTACAAAAAAGTTAACGTTTTAAGAAAGAGGAAATTAATGACTAATAAAAATTACGTACTTGCAAACCAATTAAGAATTTCTGAAATACAGCATAACATAGGTTTTCAGCAATGCATGAAAAACTACACACATTTTATTTACATGGTAATGCTTTCTCAGTGTTTTTACTGGCACCTCATGACAAACAATGATAAGAATTAATCCTGACGTTCTTTCTATGTCTTCCCCTCTTCCTTCATACAATTTTCCATGGTGAAGAAGTATGCATTATGGAATAAATATGAAAATATTATGTATTAATCAATTTACCAACCCATTTCTTAGAGATTTCTTATTTGTATAATGTTAAAACAGAAAGTAAAGTTTTGGAGATTCAGCTGTTTCATTAAAAAATTTTGCTTAAAAATTCATAATCTTCATAATGCATGTAGTCACTAAATGAATATATATTTTTTTTTTAACACGTCGGCCATTTCCCAAGGCAGGGTGACTCAAATAGAAAGAAAAAACTTTCATCATTCAACACTTTCACCACATCCCTCCAAACTAAATGTCAATATCCTAAATTCTCAACACACCGGCCATATCCCACCAAGACGGGATGGCCCAAAAAGAAAAATGAAAGTTTCTCCTTTTACATTTAGTAATATATACAGGAGAAGGGGTTACTAGCCCCTTGCTCCCGGCATTTTAGTCGCCTCTTACAACACACATGGCTTACGGAGGAAGAATTCTGTTCCACTTCCCCATGGAGGTAAGAGGAAATAAACAAGAACAAGAACCAGAAAGAAAATAGAAGAAAGCCCAGATGGGTGTGTGTATGTATATGCTTGTACATGTATGTGTAGTGTGACCTAAGTGCAAGTAGTAGTAGCAAGACGTACCTGAAATCTTGCATGTTTATGAGACAGACAAAAGACACCAGCAATCCTACCATCATGTAAAACAATTACAGGCTTTCGTTGTACACTCACTTGGCAGGACGGTAGTACCTCCCTGGACGGTGGCTGTTTACCAACCTACTAACTAGGAATATCCTAAACCCCTCCTTGAAAGTGCAGGCACTATACTTCCCATTTCCAGGACTCAAGGTCAGCTAAACAGTTTCCCTGAATCCCTTCACAAAATATTACCCTGCTCACACTCCAACAGCCTGTCAAGTTTTAAAAACCATTCGTCTCCATTCACTCCTAACACGCTCACACACGCTTGTTGAAGTCCAAGCCCCTCGTCCACAAAACTTCCTTTACCTCCCTCCTTCCAACCTTATCGGGGACGACCCCTACCCTGCCTTCCTTCCCCAACAGATTTATACACTCTCCAAGTCATTCTACATTGTTCCATTTTCTCTAAATGACCAAACCACCTCAAACCCCTCCTTTAGAGTGCAGGCATTGTACTTCCCATTTCCAGGACTCTAAGTCTGGTTATATAAAATAACCGGTTTCCCTGAATCCCTTCACTAAATATTACCCTGTTCACACTCCAACAGCTCGTCAGGTCCCAAATACCATTCGTCTCCATTCACTCCTATCTAACACGCTCACGCACGCTTGCTGGAAGTCCAAACCCCCCGCCCACAACACCTCCTTTACCCCCATCCTCCAACCTTTTTGAGGACGACCCTTACCCCGCCTTCCTTTCCCTACAGATTTATACCCTCTCCATGTCATTCTACTTTGATTCATTATCTCTAAATGACCAAACCACCTCAACAAACGATCTTCAGCCCTCTTGACTAATACTTTTATTAACTCCACACCTTCTCCTAATTTCCATACTCCGAAATTTCTGCATAATATTTACACAACACATTGCCCTTAGACAGGACATCTCCACTGCCTCCAACCTCCTCCTTGCTGCAGCATTTACAACCCAAGCTTCACACCCATATAAGAGTGTTGGCACAACTATACTTTCATACATTTCCTTCTTTTCCTCCATAGATAACATTTTTTGCCTCCAAATACATCTCAATGCACCACTCACCTTTTTTCCTTCATCAATTCTATGATTAACCTCATCCTTCATAAATCCATCCTCTGACACGTTAACTCCCAAATATCTGAAACATTCACTTCTTCCATACTCCTCCTCCCCAATTTGACATCCAATTTTTCTTTATCTAAATCATTTGATACCCTCATCACCTTACTCTTTTCTATGTTCACTTTCAACTTTCTACCTTTACACACACTCCCAAATTCGTCCACTAACCTTTGCAATTTTCCTTTAGAATCTCCCATAAGCACAGTATCATCAGCAAAAAGTAACTGTCACTTCCCATTTTGCATTTAATTCCCCATAATTTAATCCCACCCCTCTCCCGAACACCCTAGCATTTACTTCTTTTACAACCCCATCTATATTAAACAACTATGGTGACATTACACATCCCTGTCTAAGACCTACTTTTACTGGGAAGTAGTCTCCCTCTCTTCTACGCACCCTAACCTGAGCCTCACTATCCTCATAAAAACTCTTTACAGCATTTAATAACTTACCACCTATTCCATATACTTGCAACATCTGCCACATTGCTCTCCTATCCACTCTATCATATGATTTTTCTAAATCCATATATGCAATAAAAACTTCCCTACCTTTATCTAAATACTGTTCACATATATGCTTCAATGTAAACACTTGATCTACAACCAGCGGCAGCGGCAGCAGCGACCTCCGAGCTCCGTACTTTTCTCCAACTATCAGAGCTACCAATGCTCCCATGATGACCTAGTTACATGCAAAACTGCACTACCCAACGTAGCACCCAGAATGACCAAAGATTACCAACAGTGAAACCTACAAATCGAACATAATAGAGATCAAAGGAAGACTGCCCACAAACCGAAAGCAACACCCCGCTGCCAGCCGAACAAAGTAACCCTAAACTTTGTATAACTACAACTTCTTCTTAACTACAACAATTCCTGTAGTATTATGAGGCGCAATCTAAGAGGAAACAGCACCAAGGCCAGCAAGAAAACGTCGAAAAATCAACTATTCAACAAGTGTAGTTGACCATGACTTGCTCCACGTAAAATTTTCACACTATGGTATTAGAGGGCACTCCCTCAACTACCTCAAGTCTTACCTCAGCAACAGAAGCCAATATGTGTACGCAAATGGGGCAAGCTCTTCCGCACAACCAATTACAGTTGGTGTCCCACAGGGAAGTGTCCTTGGCCTTCTTCTCTTTCTCCTATACATAAATGACCTACCAAATGCTTCGCAACTACTCAAACCCACACTTTTTGCAGATGACACCACATACGTCTTCTCTCACCCGAGCCCAGTCACGCTAGCCAATACTGTAAACACCGAATTACAGAAAATATCTACCTGGATGAGGACTAACAAACTTACACTAAACATTGACAAAACCTACTTCATTCAGTTTGGTAGCAGAGCTACAGATGTACCTCTTAACATAACGATAAACGGACCACCTATCACAAAGCTAACAGAGGGAAAATTCTTAGGAATCCACCTCGATAATAGACTCAAATTTCATACACATATACAACAAATTTCAAAGAAAATTCCCAAGACTGTAGGCATACTATCGAAGATACGGTACTATGTTCCACAGTCAGCCCTCCTGGCCCTTTATCACTCTCTTATTTACCCCTATCTCACCTATGGAATTTGTGCATGGGGCTCAACAACAACTAACCATCTCAGACCACTAATTACCCAACAAAAGGCTGCAGTTAGAATGATGATAAATTCTCACTACAGGCAGCACACTCAACCTACTCACCATACAAAACATCCATACTTATTATTGCACTTATTACATACATAGAACACTTAACTCTGATATTAACCCTCCCCTCAAACATCTCCTTGCCAACCTCAACAGAACACATGACCATAATACAAGGCACAGATCACTCTTTGATGTTCCTCGTGTCCATCTCATGCTATGCAAAAATTCAATGCACATAAAAGGCCCTAAAATCTGGAATTCATTACCTGTAAATATAAAAGAAACACTACCTGTTTATAAATTCAAGTCTCTTCTCAAAATTCACTTACTCACTCAAAACCAAATAAATACTGAATAACTGAACCATATAAATTGTATATCCTAAATGTTCCTCACAATTATATCACACAAATGTTAAACCTAACTTTGTTATTTTTTTAAATACACTACCTAACAGAATACTCCATTCTACTGAATGTACAGCAATGCATGCAACCATAGGACCTGTCTTTGTAATACTCATTTGTATTTTATAGTTATCTGTTTACAATAATGTCTTATCACTGATTTCATCATTGCTTAGTTAATCTTAAGTTAATTTTAAGCCTGCCCGTAATGCTATGCATATAAGTGGCTTTGGCATGCTGCTCTTACCTGTATTTTTTGTACCTCTGTTTGTATGCTAAAATTTCTAAATAAATAAATATCCCCTACCCACTCTAAAACCTCCTTGCTCATCCGCAATTCTACATTCTGTCTTACCTCTAATTCTTTCAATTATAACCCTACCATACATTTTTCCTGGTATACTCAGTAAACTTATTCCTCTATAATTTTTACAATCTTTTTTGTCCCCCTTACCTTTATATAAAGGGACTATACATGCTCTCCGCCAATCCCTAGGTACCTTCCAGTCTTTCATACATTTATTAACCCTTTGAGGGTTTCGGACGTACTAGTACGTCTTACGCGCAGGGGTTTTTGACGTACTAGTACGCATAAATTCTAGCGCCGTCAAATCTCGTGGGAAAAGGCTGGTAGGCCTCCATATGAAAGAATGGGTCTATGTGGTCAGTATGCATGGTATAAAAAAAATCCTGCAGCGCACAGTGCATAATGAGAAAAAAAAAACTGACCGTTTTTTTGGAATAAAACAGCCACTTTGCACTGCATTTTCGTATGGTATTTATTGTTGTATTCTAGTTTTCTTGGTCTCATTTTATAGAATGGAAGGCATATCACAGAAATTGAGATGATTTTGACTGGTTTTACAATGAAAAGTACCTTGAAATTGAGTTCAAAGTAGCAGAAATGTTCGATTTTTACCAAAGTTCAAAAGTAAACAAATCATGCCAAGCATCCAATACATGTCAGCTAGTGAGTCTAATATTCTTTTGCAAGTGCGCCAATATGATTTATACCATTTTTTACACTAATGCAGTAGTCTGCATAACAGTAAATCTTCTATTTTTTGTGAGAATAAAAATTCAAAGTGGAAAGCAAAAGAATGTAAGAGGGGCCTTGAGACGTGACTAATGAACGGAGGAAATGTCATTTTAGTGCCAGGAATGTATTTTTTGTTTGTTCTGGACCCTATTCGGAAATTGGCATTTTTTGAAATTTGTGTGAAATTGGCAAATTTGCTAAATTCTGACCACTGTATTGGATAGTTGAAAATGGTAAATGGGTGGTTTCTTGCACTTATTCAATAGAAAAAATGTAGTTCTAGCGAAATATTCATGTTTTTTATCGATTAGTACAGTGGAATTGGCCGAAAATGGGGCTCAAAATGGGCAAAATCGCCAATGCATAAACATCGCCGAGACCGCAAACTTCGCGAGAGCATAATTCCATAAGTTTTCCATCAAATCTCATAATTTTGGTGTCATTATGATCCAGAAAAGATTCTCTATCTTTTCATAAGATTTTTTTTTTTTTTTTTTAAATTTGGCCGACCCTGAGAACGAGTTTCTGAGAGGGCCTGTTGACCCTCAAAGGGTTAAACAAAAATACCAACCACTCCAACACTATGTGACCCCCTGCTTTTAACATTTCTGTCATGATCGCATCAGCTCCAGCTGCTTTACCCCCTTTCATTCTACGCAATGCCTCACGCACCTCCCCCACACTCACATCCTGTTCTACTTCACTCCTAAAAGATGGTATACCTCCCTGGCCAGTGCACGAAATTACCGCCTCCCTTTCTTCATCGACATTTAAAAGTTCCTAAAATATTCTTGCCATCTACCCAATACCCCCATCTCCCCATCTACTAATTCCCCTACTCTGTTTTTAACTGACAAATCCATTCGTTCCCTAGGCTTTCTTAACATGTTTAACTCACTCCAAAATTTTTTCTTATTTTCATTAAAATTTCTTGACAGTGCCTCTCCCACTCTATCATCTGCTCTCCTTTTGCACTCTCTCACCACTCTCTTCACCTTTCTTTTACTCTCCATATACTCTACTCTTCTTATAACACTTCTGCTTTGTAAATACCTCTCATAAGCTACCTTTTTCTCTTTTATCACACCCTTTACTTCATCATTCCACCAATCACTCCTCTTTCCTCCTGCACCCACCCTCCTATAGCCATAAACTTCTGCCCCACATTCTAATACTGCATTTTTAAAACTATTCCAACCCTCTTCAACCCCCCCACTACTCATACTTGCACCAGCCCACCTTTCTGCCAATAGTTGCTTGTATTTCACCCAAACTTCCTCCTCCCTTAGTTTATACACTTTCACCTCCCTCTTACTTGTTGCTGACATTTTCCTCTTATCCCATCTACCTCTTACTCTAACTGTATACTCGTATAATTTGTATATTCATGAGTTGGAATTTGCTGTTTATGTAATAGTAATCCAGGACGAGATATATTTTAAGCAAGTCTAACATTACCCTGCTTGCCTCTTTCCTGGGACATGCACATTTTTTTTTTTTTTTTACTGAATAGGTGTCTGCTACCAAAACAGGGTGACCCAAAGAACAAAACAATCACCATCATTTACTCAACTGTCATCTTTCCAGTAGTGTGCTGGTATAATTATCAGATCACCCTCTCAACTGCAAAATCCTCACCCCTTCTTCAGAGTGCAAACACTGCAATTCCAACCTACAGGACTCAAGTCTTCTTAGCAGGTTTCCCCAAATTTCTTCATAAAGGTTACCTTGTTTACACACCACCAGATTCATTTAGAACTTTTTGTTCCCATTCATTACTATCTAACATTTTCACATTAACCTGCTGGATGCCCTAGTCCCTAAAACTCTTTTTTTTTTTTTTTTTTTTTTTTTTTTACTCTCTACCTCTCCCATTCCTGGGATGACCCCTTCCCTTACTACCTTCCACCCAAGACTTATGCACTATCTTTAACCTATTCCTTTCCATCCTCTATCTACATGGCCAAACCACAACTACCCTTCTTTAGACCTCTGAATTATACCCTTGGCAATCCTCCATCTCCTTGTATTTTCTACACTCTGAATTCTCTGCATGATATTCACATCTCACATTGCCCTCGCACATGATATCTCCACTGCCTCTACCCTCGTTTTCCTGCAGCATTCAAAACCCACGTTTCATACCCATATACTCTGGTACAGTCCCTTTTTTTGCCTCCATAGATTAACCTATTTCCACAAATTTTTCAAAACACCACTCACATTTTTCCCCCCATCTATTCAATAATTCACTTCATTTCTTGTAGACCCATCTGCTGACATGTCTGCCAAAGGTCCAAATACTTCTAGGTCCTCCATATTCCCTACTTCCGATCAGTCAGAAAGAGTTACTATGGTAATTTTTATCTGGTATTAAGGCTGAGCACTGATATAATTACACACATTATCAAAGGAGAAATTTATTACAAGTTAGTGTACAGGTCTCCCTTAACATTCGCGTTTTCCACTTTCGCAGGCTTCAAACATTCGCGAATTCCCAGCCGCCCAATCATATTTAAAGTATGTCATTACGTATGTTAGGGATTGTGGCAGTGGCAGAGTTTGTTTGAAGATAGGACAAGATAGTCCTTCAATATGACACTAATATTAACTCTACGGCTTATTGATCTATCACAATTCATTTGACATAATAAACAATATTAACCCTTTGAGGGTCGACAGGCCCTCTCCGAAACTCGTTCTCAGGGTCAGCCAAATTTCAAAAAAAAAAAAAAAATTATTTTTTCTTATGAAAAAAGTTTTTTTTTTTCTAAACATTATAGGCTAAACAAAAAAATTTTACCGTCAATATTTACCGAGATATGGAGGCGTGAAGTTTGCCAAAATTGAACAACATCTGGTAACATCGCCGACTGCCGTCACCCGGTATTTTTCTATTTACTTTTTTATGTACTATTTTCAATTATTTTTCAATTTTTCTTTTTCTGAGTAACTTTTATGGCCTCTGAGGCCAACATGATCAGTATTTTGTAAGTTATTTCTTTTTCAATACTACACAATAGGGGCGTAAACACTTTTGTCATTATTTTGTTTATAGAAAATATTTACACAAACGATATGAAATGTTGTTTATTACTATTTTTCTATATTTTATATACACATATAGTCACAGGGAATGTTTCTAGAAGTTCTGCAGCCTGTGAAACTCTTTGAAATATGGTGTCATGCACAGTGGTGTGTTACATTCCTCACACATAAAACGAGTGTCTCTGCGTTGTTGTGGGCGTTTTTTTTGTATGTGAACAGACGTAACACCTCTTCTGAGCCTTTTTCTTGAAAGCAGTAGCAGGCACTTTTACCAGGAAGTGATCACCATGCTTCAGACAAGCAGGTAGTTGTTGATAATTTGGTGGGCGGTCAATTGCAGGTGCTGTTCCTTGGTACTTGAATACTCTTTGTCTGATGACAGACAAACAGAATTCGCCGTACTGTGGTTTGTTTCTGGTCCTCATCTTATACATATTATAGGCATTGAGCATGGAAATGTCCAGAAGATGGAAAAAGAGTTTTATGTACCACTTATAACTCTTGCGAACACAATCAGCAAGCCCAATCTGCATGTCACATTTGTCCACTGAACGCATGTTGAAGGTGTAATCAATAACAGCTGCAGGTTTTAGAATGGGTTCATTGCTCTCTCTATGCTGCCTGCCACTGTCTGCCATTTCATTAGGGTGAACTGATGACAGCAGTGTGACATCTCGTTTGTCATGCCACCGAAATGCCATGATGTCATTGGCAGCAAATGCCTGCACCTCACCTCTATGAGTGCCAGCGTCAAACCTGGGCATATGTTTCCGATTTGCACGCACTGTGCCACACACATCTGTCATGTTCACTCGCAAAAAATCAATGAGTGAGGGGCTTGTGTACCAGTTATCTGCATATAATATATGCCCCTTACCAAGGTATGGTTCTATCATTGTTCTAACCACATCACCTGAGATGCCCAATAACTTCCTGGTATTTTGCAATGTATAACTTCCAGTATACACAATAATATCCAATACCAGACCACTGTAACAATCACAAAGCACAAACAACTTTATACCAAAGCGTTTCCTCTTGCTTGGTATGTACTGCTTGAAAGAAAGTCTTCCTTTGAACAGAATCAAAGACTCGTCAATTACAAGCTTCCTGAAGGGATAAAAATGCGTACTGAATTTCTCTTTCAGATGCACAAACACATTCCTAATCTTATATAACCTGTCGTTTCTGTCAGGCCTGGGTTTGTCTGAGAAGTGAAGCATACGTAACATTAGCACAAATCGATTCACTGGCATTATATCACTGAAACCTGGGGTTGCAATCAGGCGGTCTGTTGACCAGTATGATTTCACTTTGTGCTTATACACATGTGGCATAAGCATTATTGTGGCAAAGAAAAGATACATCTCAGCCACAGTTGCCACCTTCCACTGGTGTAGACGTGATTTTGGTGAAAGTAATGTGTTTGCCATGGTGTACTCGTAGTATGTGTTGCTTTCCATGACAATACTTTCCATCAGTGGTTCGTCAAAGAATAACTCGAAACATTCCAGTTCAGTGGCATTGTTCCCAAGTGTACAAGATGGCTGTATTCCACTTTGGCTGTCATCAAACTGGTGGGCATTTGAAACAAAATTGACAGCTTCCTGCCAATCCCAGGTGCGGTCTGCTGGTGGGTACTGGACAATGACAGGTGGTTGTGGTTGTGGAGGTTGTGGTTGTGGAGGTTGTGGTTGTGGAGGTTGTGGTTGTGGAGGCTGGTGTGGTGGGTGGGTGGGGGATGGTGGCCTTTGTTGTAGATCAGCTGAGGCAGCGGCGTGGGTGGCAGCGTGGCCCACTGCTGGTGCCTCACCGCCGGCACCACTACCACCACGCACATTTTCCATCCCAATTGCAACAGTATCATCGTCATTTTCACTCTCTGTTCCTGTTGTACAGCCACGGGATGTACTCCGAGATGCACTCCTTCCCCTTGGAATAGCATATGGCACACTACCAGAGCACATATATCGTCGTATATACTGATGCTTCATGGGGGAATATTGCACTTCACTATCACTACTGGAGCTAGTTTGAAGAGCTTGTAGTTCATATTCACTATCACTATCATCACCCATGCTCTCATCTGAGTCTGGGATTTGGGAAAATAGAAGTTTCCTCTTGGATTCTGGTACAACTGAACGTGAACAAGACGGCCCAGCACCAGAGGTGGAAGGCTGAGGGTCATCTGGGTTTTCCTCACTATTACCGATATTATGGTCATTAGTTTCGGTCAAAACCTCAACAAAACCTTGAAACTCATCTTCACTGGCACTTCCATCTGTATTAGAACTGTCAATGGGGAACAAAAGTGTCCCAATTCGCCGAGGAGTGAGGAGCTTCTTACTGCGAGGCATGGTGGATATTGTTTACTAAGATGGCGTTCCCACAATGCACCACTGGGTCCCAGATTTTTTTTCTACCGTGCACACCGACCACACAGACCCAGTCTATCACATGTAGGCCTACCAGCCTTTTTCCGCGAGATTTGACGGCGCTAGAATTTGTGCGTACTAGTACGTCAAAAACCCCTGCGCGTAAGACGTACTAGTACGTCCGAAACCCTCAAAGGGTTAATAACATAGAAACATGACATATACTCTAGAACGAATAAAATACATCATTAAGTATGTCATGAATGTTGCTCTGTTGTTGTTATTGGGTGTATAAAGGCCACTTAGAGCATAAGCTGTACATATGGTGGTGTAGGCCAGCACAGGCGGTAGAGATGGCGGTGTTTTCAGTTGTCCTATATAACTCCAACAACATTGGAGGAGTTAGGTTCGTGCTGTCCTTTTTCTATCGATTAATCGCTTAACTTACTTGCTACACTTTATCGCTGGCTGGCACTATAGCCTTTATCAATTCATGCTGCTTAAGTATCGTATATATCGTAGAATCACTGAATCACTTCACTAAAGAAGGCACATTCTCCCCTCTCTCTTCCTCCACCACTTTGGTACTCTGCTATGAGTTCTTTCTTGAATTCTATAGTCTTTTTCACCTTCTTTACCAAAGGACTGGCACTAGTACAATATTTTACGATGTTTTCATCTGTTTTATGACTGTTCGTGGTTCAATAGGTTAAGGAAGCAGTATTGTATTATATTTCCCTACAATATACTGGGGCACCAAACATTCGCGAGGCTCTTGATCCCCTGTACTATGCTTGATAATGCATGTTTTTAACACTGTCCATCTTCCATGTGAGACAAGGTAACTTAGCAAAGAAAAGACTTGCACTGTCACTTGCTCAATCACTGTCTTGCCAGATGACACCACAGCTCAGATGTCTCTCCAAACTGCAACATCCCCAACCCCTCCTTCAGTGGGGTAGGGACTCTAGTCTGGCTGATGGGTTCCCTGAATTCCTTCATTAATTTTATTTTGCTCACACTCCAACAGCACCTCAGATCATAAAAACCACTTGCCTCTACTGTCCCATATCTAACATGTTCACACAAACCTGTTCCACGTGCAAGCCTGTGGGAAAATAGGTTACGAATTCCAAATATTCCAGTTATGAACAACTTTCATCAATGCACAGGGTCGTCAGTAAGGGACCTACTATACTGGACAACCTAGAGAGATAGGATAGGGGTACCTACAGGAATGGCTACTTCCCACATATTTTTCCTACTCTATTTAGCCTCATGGGTTATGCAGGGTTGAATCAAACCACCCGAACAACTCCTCCTCAGCCCTGTAAATTACACTTTTGGCAACTCAACATCTTCTGTATAATATTCACACCACCTACCGCACTCAAACATAACATCTCCACTGCATCTAGCCTCCTCCTCACTCCTTTGTCTCCACAGATACAGTGACTTCCCTACATAGTAACATTCGTGCTGCAAACTTTTGATAATACGAACAATTTGTGGGAAGTGCTGAGATGTAAGCAATACATAGTAGGTTACTCTAGAAGCATCATTATACCCCCAATATGTCTGGTGTTAAGCACAAAAGCAGTGGTGATGCAGGTGGTTGTGTTAAGAAGCACCAGGCCGTCACACTGGAAATAAAAGTGGACATAATGTATTTTTGTATTTTTCCTGTGTTCATGCATGTTTAAACAATGTACACTTCCAGGTTACTCACTGTTTATGTGTACATATACTACACTACTGTACAATATTGTATACATACATATGTTGGACTTACAAACAAATGGACTTATGAATGACCACTTGGAACCGAGCCTGTTCAATGCACCACTGTTGTTCACCTTATCGGTTATAGACCTCCCTCCACTGACAAGTACACTCCAAAATATCTGAATTTTTTTTTTTTTCCAACAAGTTGGCCGTCTCCCACCGAGGCAGGGTGACCCAAAAAAGAAAGAAAATCCCCAAAAAGAAAATGCTTTCATCATCATTCAACACTTTCACCACACTCACACATAATCACTGTTTTTGCAGAGGTGCTCAGAATACAACAGTTTAGAAACATATACGTATAAAGATACACAACATATCCCTCCAAACTGCCAATATCCCAAACCCCTCTGAATACATACAGTTATTTCCTCCATACTCCCTCCCTCCAATCTGATGCCTAAACTTTAAGTGCCTAGTTTTTGTTACTCTCATCACCTTGCTCTTTCCCATGTTCACTTTTACATACCCTCCCAAATTCATCTACAACTTTTGAAACTTCTATTCAGAATCTCCAAAAAGCACAGTGTCGTCAGAAAAAGTGTGTGATAACTCCCACTTTATATTAGATTTGTTGTTTCTTAATGCCACACCTCTCTCCACTTCTTTTACAACTGTGTCCATAAATATATTAAACAACCATGGTGACACAACACATCCATGTTTAAAGTCTAGTTTTACTGAAAATAATCTCCATCTTTTCTACATACCTTAATCTGAGCCTCGCTATCCAAATGAAAAACTCTGATTTTAGTAACTGACCACGTATGCAACATCTGCCACACTGCTTTCTTATCCATCTTATCATATGCCTTTTCTAGTATATAAACTGTCACAAAAATAACTTGCATTATTTTACCTAGTACAATCAGCTTTCTTTCTCTATGAGAAAGTGAAGAAGAATCCTTCCTCAGTAAGCCATGCATGCTGTAAGAGGCAACTAAAATGCCAGGAGCAAGGGGCTAGTAAACCCTTCTCCTGTATAAATTACTAAATGCAACAAGGAGAAAAACTTTCGTTTCTTCTTTATTTGGGTCCCCCTGCCTCAGCTGGAGACAGCCAGTGTTAAAAAAAAAAAAAATCAGCTTTCTCATAAAACTGCTATATGGAGCAATTTTTTTTGTAATGAGATTGAAAAGGTGCATACAAAATTGAATAGCACATGGAAAGGCCTTTATAGTACATGATTTTTAATTTTTGAAGAACATTTTCAACACATTTGCAAACAATGACACTGTAAGGGAGCTTTATAACAGAGCCAAATAAAATGTGAATGCAACTAAACCAGCTACCAAATATTATAACAAAAGGATTATGAACAAGACAGTAAAAGTCTGGAGTGAGTGATGAATTATATCAAGTACTGATCAACAGTAAGGGTACAGTATTTCATTAAATAATTCAACATTCAATCTCCTCCCCTTCCCTTCCTCAGCCAGTTACAGCTATGTTTACTAAATATATAAGTAATAAACTAGAGCATCTCACAAGAACTCACTTTATTTAATTAGCATTTTTTTTTGTCTATAGTACAATAAATTTACCTAGATCTTTACTTTTACATTCTTTTCTTACTTTATTTTATTTTTTTTTTCAACAAGTCGGCCGTCTCCCACCGAGGCAGGGTGACCCAAAAAAGAAAGAAAATCCCCAAAAAGAAAATACTTTCATCATCATTCAACACTTTCACCACACTCACACATTATCACTGCTTTTGCAGAGGTGCTCAGAATACAACAGTTTAGAAGCATATATGTATAAAGATACACAATATATCCCTCCAAACTGCCAATATCCCAAACCCCTCCTTCAAAGTGCAGGCATTGTACTTCCCATTTCCAGGACTCAAGTCCGACTATATGAAAATAACCGGTTTCCCTGAATCCCTTCACCAAATATTACCCTGCTCACACTCCAACAGATCGTCAGGTCCCAAGTATCATTCGTCTCCATTCACTCCTATTTAACACGCTCACGCACGCTTGCTGGAAGTCCAAGCCCCTCGCCCACAAAACCTCCTCTACCCCCTCTCTCCAACCCTTTCGAGGACGACCCCTACCCCTCCTTCCTTTCCCAATAGATTTATATGCTTTCCATGTCATTCTACTTTGATCCATTCTCTCTAAATGACCAAACCACCTCAACAACCCCTCTTCTGCCCTCTGACTAATGCTTTTATTAACTCCACACCTTCTCCTAATTTCCACACTCCGAATTTTCTGCATAATATTTACACCACACATTGCCCTTAGACAGGACATCTCCACTGCCTCCAACCGTCTCCTCGCTGCTGCATTTACCACCCAAGCTTCACATCCATATAAGAGTGTTGGTACCACTATACTTTCATACATTCCCTTATTTGCCTCCATAGATAGCGTTTTTTGACTCCACATATACCTCAACGCACCACTCACCTTTTTTCCCTCATCAATTCTATGATTAACCTCATCCTTCATAAATCCATCCGCCGACACGTCAACTCCCAAGTATCTGAAAACATTCACTTCTTCCATACTCCTCCTTCCTAATTTGATATCCAATTTTTCTTTATCTAAATCATTTGATACCCTCATCACCTTACTCTTTTCTATGTTCACTTTCAACTTTCTACCTTTACACACATTCCCAAACTCATCCACTAACCTTTGCAATTTTTCTTTAGAATCTCCCATAAGCACAGTATCATCAGCAAAAAGTAACTGTGTCACTTCCCATTTTGAATTTGATTCCCCATAATTTAATCCCACCCCTCTCCCAAACACCCTAGCATTTACTTCTTCTACAACCCCATCTATATTAAACAACCATGGTGACATTACACATCCCTGTCTAAGACCTACTTTTACCGGGAAGTAATCTCCCTCTCTTCTACACACCCTAACCTGAGCCTCACTATCCTCATAAAAACTCTTAACAGCATTTAGTAACTTACCACCTATTCCATATACAGTGGACCCCCGGTTAACGATATTTTTTCACTCCAGAAGTATGTTCAGGTGCCAGTACTATCCGAATTTGTTCCCATAAGGAATATTGTGAAGTAGATTAGTCCATTTCAGATCCCCAAACATACATGTACAAATGCACTTACATAAATACACTTACATAATTGGTCGCATTCGGAGGTGATCGTTATGCGGGGGTTCACTGTACTTGCAACATCTGCCACATTGCTCCTCTATCCACTCTATCATATGCCTTTTCTAAATCCATAAATGCAATAAAAACTTCCCTACCTTCATCTAAATACTGTTCACATATATGCTTCAATGTAAACACTTGATCTACACATCCCCTACCCACTCTAAAACCTCCTTGCTCATCCGCAATTCTACATTCTGTCTTACCTCTAATTCTTTCAATTATAACCCTACCGTATACTTTTCCTGGTATACTTACATAAAAAAGATGCTTCAGTATGCATATTTTTTAGAACTATATTTTACGTTCCATTTCATTATATTCCTCATGAACTAGAAATTAAAATAACTATCCTATACTCAAAATTAAAAAATAAATCACTTGAATTTTAACTAAACTTTAGAAAGAAATGGATGAGCTGAATGCAATTAAGAAAGATACAAAATATTCGAGGAATAAAAGCCAAACTATTATAGTAGATAAAATTTTGTCTGAAAGGAAAATACACACAATTATAAGGAAAGAATATTCCTCATGAGAAAATGTCACAGACAGGGTGCCACCAAGAGCAATGCTTGCCCCAATATTTTTTTGCAATTGTACTGTAAATGACTATCCAGAAGTGAAAACTTTTGTTTATATACTTATAGATGATGCAAAGATCCTTGTAATATGTAGTAAAATAAGTAATAAAAATGACTATAAGAGACTTGGATAAACTGAGTAAATGGAGTGATTAAGGGATAATGGAATTAAATAACAGTAAGCACGGTAAACCCTCTTACAGAGTGAAATCACAGTGTGATTTTGTATCAACACAATGGAAAACTTCTATCAAAATTTCAGACAACTAAAAGCTCGATACTATGTGCTGTAAAGAGTGGAAAGAACAGCACAAAATTTGGGTAATATGCTCCTTAGAATTCCCCCCCCCCCCCCAACCAAAACTGGACCTAAATGTTGAGTGTTTTGAGGCACTGCTCCTCTCCTCTGTCATCCACTCCACCTACACCTGCTCTCTGGAAGCACTGTCTACTTTACACATACTGTTTGTCAAACTATTTTGGATATTTTCATCATCCCCATCTCATCTTTGGATATGAACCATGACACCCAAGAGAAATAATAGTAATGATTGGGGGTGCCAAGAAGAATAAGCACGAATCTCCGATGGTACTGAAAAAATGAAAATTTTAGATATGCACCCAGGTGGTTTGTGTGTGATGCAGAGACTGTCCCTTTTGGTTTGAGAGAATTAACCATTTGCATAATTAAAAGAAAATGTGAACTTGTGTAATGAGAAGTGCAGATTGTGACCCAATGAAAATAATGTCAATACAACTATGACAGGAAAGTTACTGAATGTGTAGGGGGTGGAGGAAAAAAAAAAAGCATCCCCCCCCTTAGTGCTCACATAATAAGGCATGAAGCCCTATCCAACTGTCAAACTGTGTGAGAGAAGGAAGGAGAGGCTTGACAACAGATTATGTTTAGTGTTGGCTGGTTTGAGAGCTTCATAACAAAGTTTAGTGGCAACAATGCTTCAGCTGATCACATAGCTACGTTAAGTTACCCTGCTGAATTTACACAAATTATTTCTGAGGAGAGTTATGGTACTGAGCAAATGTTTAATGCTGAGATAACAGGGCTATGTTGGAAGTGAATGAAAGAAAAAATGCAGCTGGTTTCAAGGCAGCTAAACACTGTATCACCTAGTTTGTCTGCACAAATGAAACATGATTTTTAAGTACATATTATAATTAATTTAGTGCTGTAAAATCCCCATGCTTTAAAACATCAAAACAAAAACCAGTATGTCTGTTATTTGGTGGCTTAACAAGGGGTAAAGGTAATTGAGGCTGTTTGTTGAATGGTTCCAGCATAATTTTATTCTGCAGTCAGGATGTACCTGATGAGAAGGAACCTTGCATTCAATGGGCTCCTCATTGTTAATAATTTTTGTAGTGACACTCCAACCTTACAGTCTGTGGACCCATACGTACATAAAGGCTACATTCTTACCACCCAACATGATATCTCCGATAAAGCCATTTAATCAAGGAATGACATTTGAGAGCAACTACATAAGCAAAGTGATGGAAAACCTCACTGCAGCAATGGATAACTCAGAGATTGACTTAAACATGTAAAGGTGTCATGGGATAAAGTGCCTTAATGAACAAGAAATGAATGCTGAGATTAATTGTGGCCTTTTGTGGTGAGTAATTTCTCTAGTTTTCCCCCCTCAGTAAGTAGTCAGGTCCAGGAAATTGTGGCTCCAATGAAGACAGATGCGAGGGCTTTGAAGATATACATGAAGATGACTAAAACTTACAAGAGGATGACAAAAAACCAGCTGCAGAAGAATTGCTGGAGGAGCTTAATTTACAGTAAAGAGAGAGACATGATATGTTATTGGTAAATCAGTAGACATTTTCAATGAACATGACCCTGATCTGTCTAGAAGCATAACTCTGAAGCAGAGTCTGCAGCAGCAGATATCTTACTGTTAGCTGTTTCAGTACTGCAGGGTAAAATAGACCAAAGATGCATAACAGAGTACTTTAGCACTCCAGTGCAGCCATCAACTACTAACTCTGCATACACATCAACACAGGAACCACAGCCATCCACCTCTGCCCAGTAGGGTCACATCAACCTTCTCCAAACACTTCCATATCAATAAGCAATGATAACTAGAATGTAAGGCAAGATAAACTAGTATTTTTTGAAATAAAATATTTTATAAAGCTTGCCTGGTAAATTTGGAGGTATCAGGAATGCAACCCTACTTTTTCCATGCTTTTCACTTTGTGTGTTAGAAGAGGATTTACTGTACCATATAATGGAAATGGAAAAAACAACAGTAACAAGCTACATAAACAAAAATGTAACTTGTATGATACAGCAATAAAAGCATCAGAGAGAAATTTAAGAGTCATCAATGATAAAAGAATGTCACCCAAAGATCATGTAAATGAAGTGGTGAGATACTCACATGCTACTATGGCAAACTGTATAACAGCCTTCAGATACTTTTAACAATACATATTAGACAAAAATTTGATACATTTGTGGTGTGGTACTTGCACCTAAATAACATGTGAGCAAAATGGGAAAAGTGTGATAAGCAATAAAACAGTCCTCAGAGCTATATAAAAAAAAATTTAGCCTATGTTGCCTAATAGGAAGAAATGAGGATAAACAATAACCACATACATCATAAAGGATACCTGTGTATAGATACAAATTTCTTATACCATGAACAGGAAGAATATGATACAGTAATTGTAAACAAAAAACTAGGAGCAATGTAAGGATACTAGAAAGTTTTATCACAGAGGTAGTAAAAAGAATTTGATGCATAAGGAGGTAGCAAGTGCTACAGCCACTGAAAAAAAAAAATTAATTGAAGTTGGAGGGCAGACATGTGGCTTTGTAGATATAAACTGAGTGGAAACATTGGTTTAATAAATACAAGGTGTGATAAATGAAACTAGTTTGGAGAGGACTGATGAAAAAGACCCATGTGCAACATCTGGGTATCTTGAAATACCCAGATGTTGAACATGTGTCATACTCATCAATGTGCTGATATTTTTTACCTTTGATCTAATCATACTTGGAGAAGATTATGTAACTTATAAAGTTGTTCATTTATGTTCTTAAATGTGAAAAATTTTACATGACAATTTACATTACGGGACATACCATTATATGGAAGGACAACATCCAATTTGTGACCCTTACTATAAAATTCCTTATAATATTGGTATTGCCATTATACAAGGAATGCTATACCAAGGAAATACGTCAAAAATAATATTTGTTATGCAAAGGGCAATTAACCCTGAAATTTGTCTTAATAAATCTTTGACAATTTAATTTCCTCTTTTATATATGGTGCTTCCAACATTATCACAATATTGGATAACATAAACCTAGAACATCCATTCCTTTCACTGACAATCAAAAGAACAAAATCAAACAACATTAACAAGACAATAACTGTTACTCAGACTTGCAGTTCAAGGTCATTCTCATCTCCGGGTGCTTTGGCATTAGGATATAAGGATAAGAGGATAGGTAAGGGCTGGGTTAGGAGTCACTTTAGGCACCAGGTCAAGATCATGACCTAGATCTTCATGTACAGTACCAAGTCTGGAATCATCATTTCAGGGCCTCTTGTTTCCCTATCAGCACAATGCCTGAAAGAGGAAATAATACAAAACAATAATACAGTACAATGACACATCAATGATCCCTGTTCATCACCCAGACTTCTTCTGATGCTGAGAAAGATTCATGTGACACTTTCTACAGGCCACTTCATTTGTAAGATTGGCTTCACTGAAAGAAAAATGTTAAAACCACCTGGAAAAAAGTTTAAAGAATTATATTTTTTTCCAACACATCAGTCATTTCCCACTAAGGTAGGGTGACAAGAACACTGCATTACTTAATGTTTTCACAACTATGTAACCAGAACCATGTTCATGTGCACACATCTTCCTCCGAAAATTACAACAAATGTGTAATGCTGCTGTAATTATACAGACATAACGTTCGCTGACACTACACATTTCACCTCAGATCATGTTTATACTTTTCAAACTCAACAAATCCATAATTGATGTTCTTAATTCAGATACACTACAGTAATTTAATTAAACTGTAATGTGCTCTAACACGAGTAGAAATTTTGTGAATACTGGCATAAGTTTTTCATGCAAGTTAAAAGTACAGTAAACCCTCTCTTAACTCACAGGAAACATTCCTGAAAAATCTGTGCCCCCCTGAAATTTAAGCTTTATTTGGAATAAAGAACAGTTGGGAAAAAATAAGATTACATTCCAGACAGCTCCAAATTTGCCAAGCAACTTTTTTTTAACCTTTTCGAGGTCAGTCTCATTGTACTTGGGCTCTGAAGCCAATGTCGGTCCCTTAGTGCTACGCCATGAGCTCAGCTCACTCAGATAAGCTGTGAGCAGTTAATTTGAGACTAGATATGAGATAATGGGTCTATGTAGTAAGTATGCACCATATAAAAGAAATCCTACAGCAAGCAGTGCATAATGGGAAAAAAACTGTGACTGTGTTTCTGGTTTAAATAACAACTTCGGGTGTATTTTTGTAGGTTTTTTATGGTTGTATTCTCAGTTTCTTGATCTCATTGGACAGAATGCAAGATATATTACAGAAACAGAATGATTTTGATTGGTTTTAGGACTGAAAATAGCTTGAAATTGAGCTCAAAGTAACGGAAATGCTCAATTTTTGTCATGTATTGCACATCACGCATCCAATACACATCAACTGGTGAGTCTAATACATGTTCATGAATGCGCCGATATTATTTACACAATTATTACAATATTGCATGACAGTAAATCTTTTATTTTGTGTGAATAAGAATTCTATGCGAAAAAAATCGAAATGGAATTCACGTGTAAAGCATGGAAACATAACTAATGAACAGAGGAAATGTTATTTTAATGACAGAAATGCCTGCATTGTTTATTCTGGATCCTATTTTGAAATTGGAATATTTTGAAATTTGTGTGAAACTGGGAAATTACCAACTTCTGATCACTTTGGAACAATATAATTGGCCTAAAATCAGACTCAAATTGGAGGAAATTGCTGATGCGTAAATATCATGGACACAGCAAAATTTGCAAAAGCGTAATTTTGCCAGTTTCCCACAAAATTTTGTAATTTTTGTTTTATTATCTTAAGAGAATGATTCTCTACCATTTCAAAAGATTTTTTTTTTTATTTTTGAAAACTTTGCAACCCTGAGAGCAGGGGTCATGACCCCGAAAGGGTTAATATTCTACTAGGTAAAAATTATTTGTTTATCTTGTCTTACATTCTAGTAGTCCTTACTTTAAGCATTTCAGAAATTTAGTTATTACTTCAAACACTTCAAGTGTGTTAAGTAACTAAATTTATTCAGGTATACACAAATGCAGTTACATAATATTATCATACATAGCAGCATATGTGTAGAGAACCTAGGATAACCCAAAAGTCAGACAAAGTGACATTTCCACTGGGGTCCTTGAATTTCCATTGGGGTTAGAGGGCCATTATGGGCCTACTGTGCCAAGACTGAATGCAGATTACCATGGCTCCTTACCAAACTGTACCAAATATATGGGAACTAACCACTTCAAACCAAACAAATATATACTCAAAGAAAAATAGAGCAATGCTTAGACAAAATTTTGTTAGAGGCTGTATCTGCAAGATGTGGAGAGAGCTGCCAACCCTAGCTTTGTCTACATGCTTATGTTGAACCAAAGGCAGAATCAGCAAGAAAATAACATGCCATCTCTCTCAAAATAGTACTACTATAATAACATAAGAGCAGCAGCTGGCAAAAAGACTTGCCCATACATCTTCCCACATTTTATTAACAAATTACACACTACTATTACCCAGCAAGGTGTGGGGAATCTGTAGAATATGTGAGGTACTTGATCAGTCAGCTGATGCAATAGCTGTGACTCAGTGAATGTACAATGTCCTACACTACAACTTACTCAAATACTTAATAACTCTTATTATCAATTACCAATATGTATTAATGTTGGTAGACTTACAGACAATATATTAGGTAAAAGGACACTTACAACTCATGAACCATTTTACAGCAGTAATGTTTCACTCTTCAGGAGCTTTGTCATTTCCTGGAGAGTGAAATGTTGTCTCATGAGTTGCACACGTTATCTGCATTACCAAACAATCATCATGTTACACAATTGTAGAAATACAGCTGGAGCAGATACATTACTGCTAAAAACATGTAATGTGCAATTACTGTGTAATTATAACATATGATACTGGTTTACTAACCTTCAGGGACAATAATCTAAGAATTATTATACTGCTGCTAAACTTCTGTAGATTCTTGATATTACTGCACTAATTATTTTCTTCAAACTTTTTATAGCCTACTGGTATTTTATATAAATTAAGCAATCACATGTCGCATGAATTTTAGAAAACACGGGTTAGTCAAGAAAAAAATACTGTCTAATGGACATGACTAACTCTATTAAAATATTACACTTGACTTAGTTTTTTGTTAAATTTACAAATCATATTAAGGTTCTTTTATGCTCTGTGCCATTTTGGAAGCACTTTTTCAATCACAAGTTTAGACAAAATCATAGTAAATAATTTTGCTTTATAAAAGGGTATACTGTACCATCAAATTTATTGCTGAATGTAGATTGGTCTTTCAAGGTACCAAATGGAGACCTTGACATATTTTTAATTTCCTTTAGAGTATGACCCATTTCTTGATACTGACATCAAGCAAATAATGGACCTGACCACACAGATTACTTTGTGAACTAACTGGGATAATGGGCAAAAATCTTGAAAGCAGATAACTGCAACAACACTGAAAGTGTTATTTGTTGAAACTTTGTTCAATATCTGGTCTCTCAACAAGTAAGGTTTCCGACATTCACATCCAGTCATGATCACACTGCAATGACTAATGCACTACTTAGGAGTTTTTGACCAGCCATAACAATAAAATCAATGACTCAAGAAAGGGCAGTCATGACAATACCACAAACATGATCAAAGTACCGAGAAATGTAAGTCCTCATAAGAAAACAAAATAGCTTATCAGTATTTGTGCCATGTTATGGGCACTGTCTTAATTTAGTTGGGAAAGCTGCTCTGCTATTTTTAACACTGTAAAAAAAAAAAATTATGTATTTTTCACAGATTCTTCAGTTAAGTTGTGAATTCTGAACAAAAAGTTGTTCCAGGCAGACAGTTCTTTATGTGCAGTAAGATAAGTGAACCTTCTTGGTCTTGCCAAAGCTGATACAAGCCATTGTGCATGGATATGAAGAGATAACAAGAAAATAAACTTACAGTCTTATTGGAAAAATGAGTAAACTTGAAATTGCACTGACTGCTTTATTTTGGAATTGCATTTTAAAGATTCAGTGCAACAAACCACACACCACAGGATCCCAAAATAATTCACTATTTTGCAGTAATGGCACTAAGTTTCTGAAAACAGTCTAAGAGAGAAGTTTGACGAGTATGAGGACGCAGAAGTCTGGAACAACAGAGAATGTTCAGGTTTATCATCACCTGATTAAAGTGTCTCTCAGTATACTATATGATGGTAAAGCAGAGGTCACCCGGAGAAAAATTTCACAGTTTCATTCCAGGTGTTTATCAGTTTATTTTCGTCTTAAGCAGTTTTTCCTTATGGTAAAGCAGGGGTCACCCAGAGAATAGCTTCACTGAGCTTCATTCCAGCTGTTTATCAGTTTATTTTCATCTTAAGCAATTTTTCTTTAAACAGCTTAAAAATTTGGACGCTTCTGAAAGTTGTTCAACAGCAACCAGTGATGTCACCATGTAGGAGACTGACTCTGGTCACAGACTTTGTAATGGAAATGTGAAACTTTAAGAAAAGACTACAATGACAATATGCTAAAGTAACTGTTCTACAAATATCTTGTTGAGAAAGATTTAAGAGCAACATTTCCAAACACTGAAAGTGTTCTGAAATGTACTTAAGTGCTGCTTATGTTCAAACACTAGTGAATGGTCCTTTCCAAGATGAAGATGAATAATAGACTTGAAACAAAGAGTGAAACAGTAGTGTCTCACAGCACACAATAAACATTGAATATGACAAAGATATTACTTTTCAGAAAATGTGAAAGCCTGCTTTCTTTTAGTTTAAATACAGTACAATAAACAAAATAAGAGATTTTCTTAAATACTGTAATGTGAGAAAAGTTTAAGTGTTTTGTTACTACCCGGTATACACAGTATATTTATATTAAACTTTCTCAAGAGGCATTTGGTTTGCTTTTCATACAAGTTCATATCATCTGCAGACAAAACAAATGCCAAACTGTCAACAGATAAACACTTTACACAGAACCACAAGTATGCAATTTGACAATGAAGTTGCAGTGGCAGAGGCCCCATCAAGTTGCACGTCACGGGGCTCCCACAACAATATCTGACCCTGTTCCTACCATTACAACCTATATGCCCTCAGCACCCTATCATATTCCTATGATTACACCCTAGTACATGTCCCAACCACCACACCCTGTATGTCACCAATACTATACCCTGTGTATCCCTATCCACCACTACGCCTTGTATGTCACCAATATTATCCTGTGTATCCCTCTCCACCACTACACCCTGTATGTCACCAATATTACACCCTGTATATCCAGACGTTGGTTTGAGCCTCACCCATTCTGTGATTTGTTTGCAATTGTGTTATTACAATTTTGCGAGTCATGATGGCAGCCTTGAAGGAGCATGAGCTAGAGTATACCATAGCCATGCTGGTGTGGGATTAGTCTGTAAAAACCTGCATTTGTGGTTACAGTTGGGCCCATGCTAACCTATGATATACAGAAATATACCTAGTTAGATGAATCTTGGACCATTGGTTAGCACACTAACATTAGGTTTTAGGATTTGTCTGCCAGGGATTTGATTCCCACCCATTCTGTGATTTACTTACACCCAGTAAATCCCTCTCCATCACTATACCCTGAGGTATGTTATCAATAATGCACCCTCTATGTCATTAATATTACACCTTGCACATCCAATATTTCGCCCTACAAGTCGTCAATGTATCAAACATACCACAAATAATACAATGATTAATGTTTCAGTATGGAACCATCTGTGACTACCTTAACTGTGCATACTACATGTTCTATAACTGAGCCACAATTACCTCAGTGTTTTTATTAGGTACTCTATATCTGCACCTTCAAAAGCATCCATGCATTTACTTTCACATTCTTACAGAACAGCACTTTCAAAACTCTGCTATGCAGATTGGATAATAACCATAACATTCAGTGAAGCATTACATCACTTTAAATGTTGTGCATAATTCACATTACCAAAAAATGTACATTCTAATAGAAATCTTAATTTAAGGTGCTTAAAAGAAAGGCAGAATAGATTGAACTTACATTGCTATCAGGTTTGAGCATGCGGCACTGTATGACGACATAGTCCCCATTGTTGCACACCACACCAAACTGATCTTGCTGATGGAACTTGCATAAACCTTCCTTCATTACCTAATGAAAAGGTACATCATAGTCAAAATTACCAAATAATTAACCCCTCCCACCAAGTTCAGTATCATGCATATAATTTACACGTGTCATTACACCACAAACAACGAGGAAGTACTCCAGTAAGCTTTGATATTACTTTTTAATTAGGAAGAGCCCATAAGGTTTCCATATTTACAATTTATAAAATTAACCCTGTTTAATGACCTAGATAGAAAAAAAACATAGAAAATGATCATTAAGCAAAAAATATATCAAAAGATCATATTTTTTCCACTTAAGCCCGTGTTATGAAGCGAAATGTGGACAGGAACAATCATTCCATATCTAATATCTATTTTTTTTTTTTTGGGGGGGGGGGAGAGATATTTATAACTATATATACACTGCACTCAAAGAAGATTGGTTTCCTCATATCTCTCCCACTCCCTCACTCACTCTCTTCTACACACTTATTTTACTCTCTCATTCCTTCCTCTCCCAGCTAAATGTGGCACCCAGCTGAGTATTATTACATTCATGGGCAGGGGAGCACTAAACCTATAAGGGTCAAATAGGACCTGGGGAAATAGTAGACACTCAAGTTTGATCCAAGGAAGAGAAGGTCCAATTTCTTAGATCAAGTGCCTTTCACCAGCATCAAGGAACCTCCATTGAGGGAGGGTCCCAGCTGAGGAATAATTTCCTCTAGTAATGCCTTTTCCTCACAATTACTTATCAGAGACAGTTGCACATATGATTTAAATGTATTAACAGTGTGTTCATTAGGCCATGAGAAAGCTAAACTTAGAGGGAAAGAGAAAAAAGAGAAAATACTTCATATTGTTATTGCCATCTACAGCCTAGATTCAAGTGTTGGAACATATCCTACTGATGCTAACTTAAGCCACAGAGCAACTGTGGAATAAGGCAATTTCACTCCCCAACACACTATTTCATAGTTTAACACATTTTTTGTGTAAATAAAATAACAACAATACTCTAATGTACATGTGAGCTGCCTGCTCATTTGTATTTGTTGTGGTTAGGGCTGATGAGGTGGTGGTTTTCCCAGCCACCAATCTGGATTATCTGCTGGTAATTTCTCTTCCCTGCACTTACATATCAAAAACAATTGTAGATATGACACGGTGTAGGAATAGCTGCTAATGAACACATGATACAGCAACTTTTATTAGTTATGATTCTGGTATTGGAAGGAGATAGATGCTCATATCTGAACAAACTACTTTTGTTGACTAATGACTCAGCATGAGAAATCTAGACATATTAATGAATACTTTACAAAGAGTTTTGCAAATATAATTATAACATAACACTTTACTTTTTCTTTTTAGTAAGCTATACAGGAAAAGGGGTTACTAGCCCATTGTTCAAAGGCATTTTAGTTGACTTTTACAACACGCATGGCTTACGGAGGAAAGATTCTTATTCAACTTCCCCAAGGATATGAAAGGATAAGCAATAACAAGAACTATTAAGATAAAATCAAAGAAAACTCAGATGAGTGTGTATACATAAACGTGTACAGGTATGTGTAGTGTGGTGTAAGTAGAAGTAGCAAGATGTACCTGAAATCTTGCATGCTTATGAAACAGGAAAAAGACACCAGCAATCCTACCATCATGTAAAACAAATACAGGCTCCCTTTTTTACACTCACTTGGTAGGACAGTAGTACCTTCCCAAATGGTTGCTGTCTACCAACCTACTACCTGAAAATGGGAAGTACAATGCCTGCACTTTAAAGAAAGGGTCTGGGATATTGGCAGTTTGGAGGGACTCCTAAACTGTCGTATTTGAGTGCCTCTGCAAAGACAGTGATTATGTATGAGTGAGGTGAAAGTGTTGAATGATGAAAGTATTTTTCTTTTTGGGGATTTTCTTTCTTTTTGAGTCACCCTGCATCGGTGGGAGATGACCAATGTTTTGGAAAAAAAAAAAAATTACCATACATTAGTTCTGTCCAACTTGTATTTGTTACGATTAATCACATAGTTTAGTGAGAGTGAATGGTGGTGCAGGAGACAAACACCATTACCAGTTCAAAATGTAGTTTTCTGTAGTTCAAAATGTAGTTTTGTGAGGGGGGGTTAGAAGGAAGAGGGAGGAGGAGATGGGAGGAGGAGAAGGGAGGAGGAGGAGGGAAGAGGAGGAGGAAGTTGTTGATTGGAGGTTGAATCTATGTGAGTATATGCTAGAGACAGGACCCCCAGATAATGGACAATGAGAGACTTGGGGAACTTTACCTCGCTTGCGATATGATAAATTGATGTATATGGCCTGGAAGAGATTTCTTCCTTTATCTTCAAATTTTTTAATTTTATCCTAATTCAATCTATAATACTTTGTACTGTGACTCAACAACTTATCAACCTTTCAAAACAAAACATCTTAAATTCCTTATCCACTCCCAATGCATTCTGGATCAAAGTCTGCATCAGAACAAAATCAAAATAATGGCATCCTATGAAGCCAGAAGACACTGCTATTGTATGCAAAAACAGCCAAGAGCAAGCAAGCATGGGAGCAAAATAACAGACCCCCCTTCCCCACAAGTGACCCACCAGAGAACATGGTCATCAAAACACTGTTGAGCAAAACATAGCAAACTGTCATCCAGAACAAGTATCTTATAAGAACAGTAAGAAATGACATGAATCCTGAAGTTAATCACAAGACCCCTTAAGGGACCCAATGAAATGCAGTGCACCAGATGAGGAAGTGTCCATGGAGAGGTTTAAGTGGGGCTAACAACATAGCTCAAGAAGGATGATGATCTTGAAACTTCAAAGGGTCCCAACTGACCTTGGCATAACAAGTGAACATCAACAGGCAATCAACGGCAGTGGGAGCCATGAACTCTTGAGCACCTGTTTACCTGCAGTTTACCTTGAGAGGGTTTTGGGGGTCAACGCCCCTGCGGCCCAGTCCAAGACCAGGCCTCGTAAGGGGGCTCAGGACATTGTAAGGATAGAATGAATAAGGCACAATACATTCCAAGTGGACCCTCCAGGGTCCTCACCACAGAAGATAATCGAGTAGAGTGCTGTGCACTAGAGAACCAACTTATTTTTTCATGGAACATGGCCATTTCATCTAATGTACAATGAAAATCTAAGGTATATAAACCTCGGATTTTCAAATTTTCAGCAAAATATAAACCACTACTGTATAGATACAGAATAGCAGGGCAAATGAGATACTCAATATTGCTGAAGGTGTCACTAAGCCAGCCCAATAACACAAATTTTAGATAAGATCTTGATGACTAGGTAGTAGGCTTGTAGACAGTAACCACCCACGGAGGTACTACCATCCTGCCAAGTGAGTGAGAAATGGAAACTTGTAGTAGTTTTACATGATGATAGGATTGCTTGTCTTTTTGCTGACTCATAAACATGCAAGGTTTCAGGTACATCTTGCTACTTCTGCCTACACTTAGGCCACATTACACATGCATGTCTTCTTTCAATAAACCGGCTGTATCACACCAAAGCAGGGTGGCCCAAAAAGAAAAAAGTTTCTATTTAAATTTATTAATTTTTACAGATGATGATGTTACTAGCCCTTTGGTAATAAGTAATACAAATTTTATGAAAAAGAGGATAAATAAATATACAAGGTATGATGTAGCACGTAATGAAAGTAGTATGTTAGATTATGTATTGGTGGATAAAAGGTTAATGGGTAGGCTCCAGGATGCACATGTTTATAGAGGGGCAACTGATACATCGGATCATTATTTAGTTATAGCTACAGTTAGAGTAAGAGGTAGATGGGACAAGAGGAAGGTGGCAACAACAAGTAGGAGGGAAGTGAAAGTGTATAAACTAAGGGAGGAGGAAGTTCGGGTGAGATATAAGCGACTATTGGCAGAAAGGTGGGCTAGTGCAAAGATGAGTAGTGGGGGGGTTGAAGAGGGTTGGATGAGTTTTAAAAATGCAGCATTAGAATGTGGGGCAGAAGTTTGTGGTTATAGGAGGGTGGGTGCAGGAGGAAAGAGGAGTGATTGGTGGAATGATGAAGTAAAGGGTGTGATAAAAGAGAAAAAGTTAGCTTATGAGAGGTTTTTACAAAGCAGAAGTGTTATAAGAAGAGCAGAGTATATGGAGAGTAAAAGAAAGGTGAAGAGAGTGGTGAGAGAGTGCAAAAGGAGAGCAGATGGTAGAGTGGGAGAGGCACTGTCAAGAAATTTTAATGAAAATAAGGAAAAATTTTGGAGCGAGTTAAACAAGTTAAGAAAGCCTAGGGAACGTATGGATTTGTCAGTTAAAAACAGAGTAGGGGAGTTAGTAGATGGGGAGAGGGAGGTATTAGCTAGATGGGGAGAATATTTTAAGGAACTTTTGAGGAAGAAAGGGAGGCGGTAATTTCTTGCACTAGTCAGGGAGGTATACCATCTTTTAGGAGTGAAGAAGAGCAGAATGTAAGTGTGGGGGAGGTACGTGAGGCATTACGGAGAATGAAAGGGGGTAAAGCAGCTGGAGCTGATGGGATCATGACAGAAATGTTAAAAGCAGGGGGGGATATAGTGTTGGAGTGGTTGGTACTTTTGTTTAATAAATGTATGAAAGAAGGGAAGGTACCTAGGGATTGGCAGAGAGCATGTATAGTCCCTTTATATGAAAGGAAGGGGGACAAGAGAGATTGCAAAAATTATATAGGAATAAGTTTATTGAACATAACAGGAAAAGTGTACAGTAGGGTTATTATTGAAAGAATGAAGGACTGCGGATGAGCAAGGAGGTTTCAGAGTGGGTAGGGGATGTGTAGATCAAGTGTTTACATTGAAGCATATATGTGAACAGTATTTAAATAAAGGTAGGGAAGCTTTTATTGCATTTATGGATTTAGAAAAGGCATATGATAGAGTGGATAGGGGAGCAATGTGGCAGAGGTTGCAAGTAGTATATGGAATAGGTGGTAAGTTACTTAAATGCTGTAAAGAGTTTTTATGAGGATAGTGAGGCTCAGGTTAGGGTGTGTAGAAGAGAGGGAGAC